GGCATGCCCCAAAGCCTTTTGTCTTTTCCTAGGGGGTCTTCTGAATATTGGAACCCTTACCTGAGGAAAATCCCTCATTAAGGACCAAAACCCCAAGGAAATTACGTAGCAACTCTGGATGCCTGTGTGTGGCTATTTGGGACAGAAGGATTCAAGCCCAGCTCGGGCCTGGGTGGTATCCAGGCATCCTCCAAGGGGCTTTCTTTGGAAGAAAGGATGAAAAAGTGCGAGAGAAGGATGACAGCGCTGCTTAGATTGTGCATGAAAGGCTAGAATTTAAATGTAATTTTATGTCACTACAGCTCAGGGCTGTTTTAAAATCTCAACGCAAAAGCCTGGTCTTCTATATTTACTTTTAGAACGTATTTAACTACTAAGCAAATTCTCTATTTAGAATGTGTTGTACTTTGCACCAAATCTCTCAATAGTACCCAGAGGTTTGTGAAAAAGTTGGGCAAAAAGCCGGTTATAAGGGTCTCGGAGTGTAGAGCCCTTTTTTCTTGTCACTATCAGCTATTACTAAGTATAATGTCACTACTAACATAAGTGGTAAACTTAAAGAAAACCTGGGGGATAGGGGACAGGCCCTTTTCTGGGTTTTTTCCCAGTTTTTTTTCCAGTTTGCTTCAGTTAAGCCAGTAGACCCAACTTCCTTTGCAAAAGGAGTTTTTCTGCAGTTTGGCACAGCCTGTCAGAGCTATTAGGCAACTAAGGGACTCATTTTGAAACCTCGCAGCACTTTTTAATCAGACATTTTGAAATTTAAGTCATCAAAGGCATTAGAGGCATTTTCCTCAAGTGGGGTGGTTCAGCTACTTACAGGCCATTGTGTGGTAAATGCTGGGCCAGTACTGGCCGCTGTCTCTTTTCAGCCATACTCGGATGGTTCTGTGGAGAAAGGAAAGAAAAAAAAAGAGTAGTAATTTTATCTTCTTTTGTGCTCCTGTGAAACTTATTTTACTTTCAGTACTATTTCCCAACTGACACTATAAAGCTAATCAATTGGACAAACTGGACAAATACATATACATATTCATACAGTATATAGTATATTTACCTATATACAGTTACATATGGTATGACCATAGATGGTAAGTTATGCAGTCACTAGGAGTCAGGGTTTCAAAGAATTTTAACAATATGGAGAATGCTCATTATATAATGATATATCGTACATACAAAGAAAGCTGAGAACTATAGACTGCTTTTCTTGGTACAATAAACTGTGAGAACTCGGTTGCTTGACATCCTATCCAAATGAGGAGAGGAGATAGAAATGGAAATAAAATGCTTCCCGAGGACTGGGAGGGAGCACATACACGCAGGGCCCACGCCACGGCCCACGCCTGGCAAATCTCAGTGCTCACGCCCCTGGGAGGAAACCACTTCACATCAGGTCTCCCGGCCTCTCCTTTCATCAGAACACACACAGGGAGATGAGGAAATCCGGTCCACAGGCAGGAAAATGACGAATCACCAAAAAAGGCAAAGTTTAGTATTTTGGCTTATCACCTCAGAACGACGGGGAATACTGTGACCCCCACGCCTCCGCTCCCAGAACCTCCTCAAGGCCCTAGGCCTTGTCCTCTTCAGAGTCCCGAGGACACACACTGCCTCTCCCAGCGTGGCAGCGCTCTGCCTCGGCAGTGACTCCTAACTTACTGTCCCTATAGTCAGCTCGGTCACAGTCTTGCCTGTATTTCTAACAGCAACACAGGTTCTGGCACACAGCCAGCACTGAATTAATGTCTAGAGCCTTAAACTAAAATTTTCATTCAGACTATGTTGACACTGTATGTTTCCATTCGGATTGAAGTTCAAGACGAGGAAGACCGGTCTATGAGAATAAAATCAGAATAGGGGGGTGCTTCCGAGGGAAGATAGGAGGCAAAGGAATACGAGGGAACTTTCTAGGGCGGTGGCAGGGCTTCGGGGAGTTGGTTCCATGGGTGTATGCATTTGTCAGAGCTTGCCCAACTTAAGATCTGTACAGTCTACATTTATGATTAGGCTGCAATAAAACAAAGACTAGATGTTGACCTTCACGCATCCACGTGAATAATAAGATGACCCAGCAGCACAGGGGGCACGATGCTATTCTGTATGTGACTGGATACAGGCCTTACTGTAGGAGCAGCCATTTGGACAACACGCCCTGCCTTCTGGCCACTGCTGACTGGTCACAATGGAACCTCTGCCATGCTGAATCGGTCGGAATTTTTCTTGACATCCAACTCCTGATTGCAACTGGCTAGACCAGAAATGGGCATCTGATCCTAGCTGGGTAAATCAGGTGCCTTCCCTGGGAAACCAGCAGGGAGAAAAATAGATCAGTAGGTCTCCAGTAGCTTAAATGGTTGTTGCTGGTCATACGTTTTAGAATTGGGACTAGAGAATTTTCTACATCAAAAAAAAAACAAAAAACAAAAAGAGAAAGAACGACGCCGACCTATGGAAAGCAGCAGAAATGAGGTGGAGAGAGTCCAGGTGGACAGTCCCTCATGACAGCTGCTCTTGAGCCTGAGCTGTTTCCCTCGACTTGGATCTGTGAGGCAGACACCCCAGCACCCTTCCCATAAGCCAGCCTGAGCTGTCTCCACTGTTGGTAATAAGCAGAGACACCAAGAAGGATCTCAAACACAGCCTCTTCATTCAAACGCCATTAAACAAGCTCCTGTGTCACAAGGTTCCCAAGGCAAGATAATCTGGCACCCTTTTTTTTTTTTTTGAGGTTCCCATATTGTGACAGGAAGTTCTAGAAAGTCCAAGTTCACATCGAAAATTAAGAGAGAGAGAGAGATCAGATTACAACATGTATCACCAGACCTATGATCTTTACAGTTTGTAATTTGTCATCTTAAATCAAAATTTAATAACTGTTTGAGATAAAGTTTAAACCATTCTATTATTACTTGTGGGTTCTTGGCCACTGTTCATGATTACTTGGCTTTCTTCTTGCCAAACCTCAGATGTTAAAAACTTTTTCATGATACGGCTCTTTCTAGTTTGGAACCATTTAGACCAAGTTGTGAAAAATAATGGCAAGGGAAAACGTTCACCATATGTTAAGTGGACAAAACTGATAAATGTAGTATAATGCCAACCTTATTTTAAAATACAATCTGAACAAACCTCTAGATCCAACGATAATTTACAGAACTACAGAGGAACATAAACACCATCACAAGGCTGCATTCAGCAAAAATCGAGATTGCAAGAAAGTCTATAGACAAATGACCCTGTTTTTTCCTACAAGTAATTTGCAAGGGGGGAAAACAGACATGGAGACTAGTCAATGATCAAAGAGGTTTAAGTGACGTATCACGCAATTTTATGATGCATAGATTTATTCGGATCCTGATTCAATCAAACTGTTTAACACATGTCCTTATGAAACAATTGAAAAGATAAACACTGACTAGATATTTGATAATATTAAAAAAATACTATTCATTTTGTTTAGGTAGGATAATGGTGCTGCAGTTTTTTGTTTGTCTGTCTTTTAAAAAGCTATAATTCCTAAGTAAGACGCTGGTCCTTGTTCTGTTCTCAGCATACCCACCAGAGTCTGGCCCTTGTCACTCACACCACAGTGCAGCCTCCTCGCAGGTTACCTGGTGGGCTCTTCCCTCTGGTCCACTCCGGGCATGTCAACCACCAGCTCCGTTTCCCAGGAACTCTGCGTCCCACAGCCCCTGTGCGCAGAGCCCGCCCACCAGTGGTTGGTTGTCTCAAATCAGGCTCAGCTGACACACTTGGTGCCTAATGATTCCCGGACCCAGGCCCTGCATCCCAGTGAGCTGTGATCAAGTGGCGCAAATGCATCGCACTCAGGGTGCTGCTAAGCCTCCTCCCTCACCCCCATCAAGACATTTCTCTCCGGGACGTAGTTTACGGGCACATCGCAGGATGGGCACGATTTCAGCATGACACCCTCCTCCAAAATTATCAATAGACGCTTATCATGATGATCCCGAGTCCTGAATTACTAACACAATATTACATTTTGATGATTATATTCTATGTTGCTTAACACAGAATGCTTATGGATACATTGTATCCCTTATGTTCCACATAGGGATGAAGCCGGAGGAGCTGTAATAAGAGTAAGGCCAATTCGCCAGTATTAGATGTGCTCAAGGATTCTACTCCAACGTCCAGAGACAGGTAGCAAAGGCCAAGGCACTTGAACACCAGGGCGTCATGCAGGCTTTGTCAGGTTCCCCGGCCTTCGTTCACATGGGGTCACGAAGGGGTTAAAGCTGCGAGCTACCTCTCTGTTAGGTTTTTTTAAGAGTCTAAAGAACAGAATGCTGACACATTCTAAAACCTTGCAAATCAACCCCAAAAGTTGTGGGTCCTGAATGTGTCGGTAGCTGGTGCTCGTCCTTGTGTCCCTGAAAGGAAACCATGTTCAGAGAGCAGGGAAGTCTGCTGTGAGCTGGGAAGCTTAAAGGTCAGCTCTTCCAACCAATCACCTGACCTGGAAAAGTCAAATTTTCATTTCATGCAGCATCAGGATGATATTTAAACCAGCCCGAGGCCAAAGTGGAACCCGCCTAAACCCCAGCATATTTGAAACACAGTATTATTTCCTTTGGAGGACAAACATCAGTCATATGACTTGGTCTGTACCCAGCTGACACACGAGGAAATTAGCAAGACTTAAAATCTCATGGGGTGTTTCATGTGAAAATTGTTTACCACATCCAGGCTGAGAGAAGACCATCCTTGCTTGGGAATCGGGTTCCAAATTAGGCACCTGACCTTGAGAGTCAGCTCCACCTCTACATTCACACCTTCTATCTGGAATTCCCCTCTTTCTCTTTTTCAAGACATGTTCTTTCCCTTCCTTAGACAATGCATTATAATCTCCCACTTCCAAGATTAAATCAATGTTAAGTTTGACTCCTAACACTCCAGCACTCTCAAGAACCTAACAAAGTTGTATAATTTCCGCTAAGTAATATAGGAATTTGTTTTGTATTGTGTTCAGGATATATCTCATTGGTTTAACACATGGTTGTACAGACTTAAGTAGGACTGCTTACACACAATGTGATATACAGGTGATGTATTTATTAAAGAACTGTACACCTAAAACCTATGTAACTTTACTAATAATTGCCACTCCAATAAACTTTAATTTTTTTAAAAATGATTCACTTAAAAAAGAAATTATAAAAAAAAGTCAACAAATTCCACAAACTGAAAAAGTTTACTTTTCAATAAGTTGGAAGCAAAATCTACTATTCAATAAGTTGAAAGCACCACAATAGTACAGTTTAGTAACATTTTACAGGAGCAAATTATTAAAAACTTTAGGATGATATTAATAAACCATATAATCACTACAGTGTCAAGATCAGATGGCTTTATTTTTACAAAAACCACAATATTTTCTTGATGAATATCTATGCTGCTCTCTTCATTAACATAAAACAGCTTAGCTTCTCCTTTAATATTTTGACAACTTCACACCCATTCACCTAAGCTCATTTTATATTTTTCTTGCTTCTCATTCTACCCATTTTTCTAGTGGATGGATTTTCTTTGATATTTCAAGACCATGTCAAACTGAAAAAAAAGTCTTCTCTTAAAACCAAGACCTTAGTGTTCATTCTTTGCCAAGCTCTATTTTTAAGTTATTTAAAAACAATAGTCTGATATTTTTCCAAAAGGTACTTAGAAAGGAAATGTGTCATTTCTTTCAGAGCCTACATAAATGTTTTTCAAACTTTCCTATGCCACTAAAACCCTTGTGAAGGGCTCTACTATCAATTTCCTTTGGCCTTTTCATTAGAGAAGCACAGGCTCATATAGATCTGCAATATTTTCCATGGATAGACAAAAAAGGTATCTCTCCTAAGACTGTAATGTTATACACC